TATGAGCGTCAAGGAACATTTGTGCCTGGTGGGCACAGTGGCTGATGCTGGCCTTGCTGCATCTCTTGAATGATGCTCAGTGGTGACACAGCCTCTCCACGCAGTTCTTGGGTTTGGGGTGGCAGGGAGATTTTGCCTTCAAAAACTTGCACCAGTTCTGTCACCTACTGTACCAGGCAGCCTTACAACATTTCAATGGGCAAAAACAAAGGTTTCTGTGAGGGAGGATGAATGAACAAAGATTGGGGTCAGAGGATGAAACCAGCCTTAGCACAAGGAAAATGTCTTGCTTAACTCTCATGGGTTTATCAGCATCTTGGAAAGATGCTTTAACAATGTCTATAGATCGCCCTGAGGAATTCAGAGTTTAACTGCTGCAGCAAAAGCCTGCTTCACTAATCAGACAATTTAATCCCATTTAAAGTGTAATATATATTAATAAAAAAGAAAAGAAATTAAAGATACCCGTGGGATTCCTCAGCACAGCATTATATTTTATTAAATATAACATCAAAGTTGGAAGTTACTGAGAATCAAGATAATGTGTTACGCTAAATTGTGATCAAAGAAACAGATATAATGATATAATTTTAATCATCCATAAGCACCAAAGCCGAAACAGCTCTCTGTACCAGGTTAAACACATACACAGATGCATACAGTAACTGCAAACTTAGATGCACATTTTTCAAAATGTCTCTGAAAGTTTTATCACATCCATATTTACTGTCCAAACTGGTGAAAAAGTGACCTGCTTAACAAAGCTTGGGGAAAGCCTTCAAAAGGAATTTAAAACGTTTTCTACCACAAAGTTTATTTAACGTACCAGCGCTGCTGTGAATAATGATTGGTTTGGTTGTTTTATACAGATGATGCATACTCCTCTTCTGAAATGTGAGCAGCAGATATTTCATTATAGGAATCTGAAAAAAACATGATGTCACATCCACTAGGAAAGTATTTGGGCAAAACCAGGAAAAAAAAATTATGTTCTCAAATACAACAATTAGGGAAACATGAGCATATACCATGATATGCAACAAGAAATAAAAAGTTCTTATAGAAAAGGCAGTTGCCAAACTGGGCTAGGGGAATGGTTTACAAACTTGACAGATAATTCCTGAGGGGAGGAGCCTGTTTGCCTTTGTAACTTGTTGGGGAGTGTGTCTGTGTTATAGCTCAGTCCTTTGGTGGGGCTCAGCGCTGTGCCTCCTCAGAGGTCACCCCAATGAGCCATGGGGCTTGAGGGGCTGTTTGCTTTCTCTTGGGCACCCAGGAAGGTTGTGTCTGCAATTCTGCCACTGATTTCTAGTTTTGTGCATCTTTTTTGTTCTTTTCACCAAAGCACACATATCATATGAATCAACTAATCTCCATACCATGGCATTTTAACTGACAAAAGTGGTGCTTTTATAGGTCCATGCTGCAAAACAATGCAGTGCTGCTGCATCACAAAAACACCTGTGAGTTTTGTGGAATAGGGCTGCTCTTTATCAGGTAACACATATGCTTTCATGTCATTCTGCTAGAACGAGGCATCAGTGGTTTGCACTGGAGAGAAGAGAGCAAAATATGGAGTGACCTCTGAACAGAATGATAAATAGGAATTAGAAACTCTTTAGTGTTGTAAATCAGTAAAAGATTTTATAAAGCATTAGTACAAATACTGCTATAAAAGATTATATATATATATATATAAACATATATATATATGTATATATATATGGGCACAGCACGGGAAGTCCATGCTATGTGAGTGTACATAAAAATATCAGAAATATGAATTATTTTTAAACAAATAGAATTTCAGGGTAAAATTCTGACCTCAGTGAGTTCATTGAGTGATAAATATCTGTGGGGCCGGCGTTTTACTCCATCTGGATTATTGTACATAGAGTTTATTGACTTATAATTACTTGGAACACATATTTTCTTCTAGACAGAAAAATATTTCTAGCCTTTGATATTTTCAAAATCTGCCCTGTTCTCGGTCATTTGCAAAGGACTGACTCTGTTTGCTTTTGTTTAGCAGATATTGCATTTTCATATTTTTAAACACTTTAAGGGTTACTTTATCACCATTTCAGAATTGCTTTTTCAATTTGACTTCTCCAGATAAAGTTCTATTAATAATTAAACTCCATGTGTCCTACTGAACTGAGTGTGGGCTTATTTATGACACTGACGTGTTTTTGTTTGTTTTTGTCTCCATGATGAGACAGAAAAGTTTTATGTTACTGGAGTTGGTGCCCGTGGCAGGGACAGTACTACTGGGCTGTGGGGTGGCTGGGGAGGAGATGGGTGGTTTACCACAAGCACATAAAGCTGCTTACCAAGAAGGCAGTGTGTGCCTACCCTGTGCACCTTGCACTATATCCAAGACATTAAAATGGTACCACTTAGCAAAACAAAGAAATCTTCTGTCCCAACCAAGAAATTAAAGTTAATTTCTCAGGAAAATCAAGAAGGTGGGAAAACTCAAGCCATCCTAATGACTGAGGCCAGTAATGAAAGCACCTGCATCTTGCTTGTGCAAACTCCAGCAGTGTTATAGCTGTGGGCATCTGCAGAACTGCCTCTCCCTGCGAGTGTGTCTTTCCCTTTGTTTTGAGAAGATTCTCAAAAAAAAAATCTCAAAAAAGCATCTCAGCTGGATGGGCTGAGTGAGGAACAAAACCCTTCGCTGTGGGGAGTGCAGCACAGTAGGAGGGCTTGGTAGGAAACAGGGCACCCCCATGCTGCCCAGAGAGGAATCATAGAATCACTTAGGCTGGAAAAGATGGTTAATCTAATGCTGCCAAGTCCACCACTAAACTGTGTTTCTAAATGCTATCTCTACACGTCTTTTAAATACCTTCAGTGATGGTGGCTCGACCACTTTCCTGGGGAGTCAGCAGCAGCTCCAGCGCCACTTCTCACTTTAGCAATGGGTACAATGCTTCCTCCTCACTGTGTCAGGTATAACCCCCTTTGGTTAAACCTTCTGCTTCCTTAGGGAAGCCTGCCTGTGTAAAAACAAATGAAATGGGAAGAGGAAGGGGCTCGGCCCAGAGAGGTTTGCTTAAGCAGCTGGGCACACCTTGGTTTGCATGAGCACTGACACAGGCAATGGCACGAGGACTGGTGTGCCACCTCGCCATCTGCCAGGGTTCATGCATTCCCTCTCCCTCCCCGTGCATGTATGTAAAATGCATGTGTGCAGCACAAATGTGTGCAATGCCTGTGTGCAGTGTGTGTACACACAGTGTGCACGTGCAGTGCATGTTCACGGTGTGCTCTGCCCACCAGCTTCTCCTCATCCCTTCTCCCTCACAAATCACAGCCAGGCAGCAGTGGGAAGCAAGCAGCATGGTTGTTTTCCAAGCCACTCCAGACGGGCTAATTCCCTGGAAGGCAAAGCTTGCAGCAGCAGCAGCACTACCTCATCCCAGCCTCAGACAGGGGAAAGGTGTCAGGTCATGTTAGAGACAATATAAAAACATTTCTCTTCCCAGCCTGGGTTGAAATAAAATGTCGTGGTCTGACTTCAGCTTAATAATTAATGTTTCAGGTCTTCGATGTAGGATAGAAGGGCAAAATACGGAACCTTTCTTTAGTGAACACTTTCATTCTTTCAGCTGGGTTTTCCTCAGTTCAGTGAGAGCCAGCAGCTCAGACCTGCTAGCACAGTAGTCTTTGCACAAACATGTGTTGAGGCAATCACTGTGTCTGTATTCAGCATGCTTATTCAGCTTTGTTTTAATAAATCCAGTAATAGACTTTCAGAGGCAATGAAGGGGAAAGAATAATTTGGAAACAAAGCTGTTGAAAAGAACACAATGCACATGCAGTAGAGAAGAGTGTGATTTTGGAGGTCTGTGCAGCTGTTTTATTTCTTTAGAGAATTTTGATCAACCTCATTACACAGGGAAGCAAAGGGATTTTAAAACCAGTGTTGTGATAATCAGTCAGTAGAGAAAACAAAGAGGCATTTTCCCTTTCTCCTGTCCCTCACTTTTGTTTTCTCTCTTTCAAGTGATTTTACAAGTGAAAGTGCCAGATTTTAATTAAAAAACTATTCATGCTGGGGTTTTGCTAGAGAAGCAATTTCAGTCTTTGTCCACTATATCATTTAATCAAAGATATCCTAAATGCTTTCAAGACTGCCATGGCTGCACCAATCCGATTGCCATCAGTGTAACGGCTTTCCCAGTGGATTGGAAAAAACCTGTAATTGGACATGAGCCCATCCTTTCAAGTAGGATTAGGAGCTCTGCTGCAGTCATCCCCTAAATTTCAGGGTCTGATGTTTTTGTCTTGCTCCTTGTGTATTTAGTGCCACAAAGCAACCCTCCAGTGCCTTCTTTTGAGTTGAGCTATACAGGCACAGCCAGGGGAAGGAGCGTGGAGCTGCATTGCTCTGAGAGGTCACTTCTCTGTGTTATCGGGAGCAATTGGTGTCTGGTTAAACCTCGGGCTGACCCTACACCATTCCTTAAAAAAGAGAAGTGTATGTGTGTGGTGGGAATTTGCTACCTGTCACTTCTAAGGGTTTATAAATGGATTTATCCAACATCCTGCTCCTACCTAAACCCTCTCCCCAGTGGCATGCAAATCAGGACCCTTAATCAAAGCATGAGGACCATTTTCCCTGCCTCAGGAGCCACCTTCTGCAGATCCCACCTGGAGGCCTGGGGCTTTGCTCCTCTCCTGTCCTCCAGCCCTGCATCGTGCATCACCACACCAGTGCTGCCTACTCACACAGCACTTCCTGCAGACCATCCACAAGCAGGACCTTTCACCACACTGAAAACCTGGCCTCCCTGTGGTGCACCAGAGGAGTGAGGAGACTCCAGGCACACTCCTGTGAGCAAAGGATCACAGAAACCTTGAGAGAACACAGAATCACAGAATCAGTCAGGTTGGAAAAGACCTCCAAGATCATCAAGTCCAACCCTTGATCCAACACCACCATGGTTATTAGACATGGCACTAAGTGCTACATCCAGTTTCCCCTCCAGGGATGGTGAATCCACCACCTCTCCAGCCAGCCCATTCCAATGTCTGATTACACTCTTTGTAAAAATTTTTTTCCTAATATTCAAAAAAAAAAATTAAACTGATAAGAACAGATACTACACTTGATCTTAGCCAAAAGGTCGAGAAGTGATGTGGCACCTTATGTGCTGCCTTGCTCTCTGCCTGCTTTTATAGAGCTGCCCCTGTACACACCATTTTTACTCTGCTTTGTGATAGATGGAGAACTCTAGTTCAAAATTTAGTTTTGTCTTTTCTGTCAACAATAATAATGGTTCCCTAACTATTTTTCCAGCCCTCCCACAGCATCAAAACTTTTCAGAGCCTAACTTGTAGTGGACTGGTGTAAAGTTATTCAAGTGTTTACATTGCCAAAAGCAAAAGTCCCAAAGAGGAATGTTTAACTTGGCTGGGAGAAGACCTGCATTGCATGGAGATCACAGGCACAGTGTTCACCTTCTGCCAATCCCTGTACCACGTGCAGGTCATGGGCAGAGGGTATGGCAGCACCAAACTCCTGACAAGCTGGCGGGACAGAGGAGTGCAAGAGGGATGTTTTAGCTGGAGAGAGATGATTTCACACAGGAAGATATGGGCTTAAAAAATGGCTGATCTGGGTTTGATGCCTGCTGTGAAAAACTTTCATTTTAAGGTATTTCTAGATTGGTTTGTTGGATTAGTGTTATATTAGGTGACAGCTCAGGAAACAAGGACAGATCAGGTGGAATTAAAGATGACAGGTCCTTCTCTTAAGGTGATTGAGTGAAATGTCCTTGGTGTCAAGAGTACAGTGAGGGAGGCTCCAAATGAAAGAACAGAAACACTGAATGTCTCCTCATCAAAGTTAATTTCCCAGGAGTTCAGAGGGCATGTGAAGAGTGCCCAAGACTTGCTTGGTTTTGATGCTACAGATGGTGGATATCACCAACAAATACAACTCCTTATAAGCAACCTTTAATCCTGGAAAGATTTTACTTTGAAATATGTGATTTTAAAAATAATTTTCAGATAATTATGGCAGGAATTGGCTAACTATGTTATGTAGTACAGGAACTGAAAGAGCCCTGCTCTCTGTGTCAAGGTGACACACAGGAGGTATGATTATAGGTGTGATAAAACAGAGAAGTGAAACTGTGATAGAAATCCTGAGTGTTTAAAAGCAAGGGTTTAAAAGCTGGTCTCACAAGCTGCACAAAAGGAAACAGGTACTGGGTGGAATTTGAGTCAAAATACGCAGCATGAATACATCTGGGAAGATCTAAAATGACCCCCTCATGAAAGCCCTTTCATTTTCCAGGCAAACCTTCTAGGCCTTGACTTAAGTGACTAGACACTCATTAAACAGGAGGGTATCAGCCAAAATACCATATGAAATGAGAAACAGAAAGCTGATTCTCAAACTGATAGAGGAAGAGGCTGCAGGAGCCAAAAAAACCATGTATGGTGTAAGAAATCAAGATGTTAACAGTTATATCATCCCAGAAGAGCATTTCATAGGGGCAATGTACAACAGTGCAAGAGGTGATGTGTAAATGAACTACTTCAAAGCAACGTACTATTTGCCCTCTTAAGTTGTAATACAACTGGAAACCTGCTGCTTCAGATCCCTGCCATGGAAAGTGTGCCTGAAGGCAGGGACTAAAGGAGGAACCAGGCTGGCTCTGGGCATTAATATACCAAGTAGCAGATGTTAATGTGTAACTAAGTGCGGGCTTTGTTTTAGTGGAAAATGAAGCGAAACTGGAACTCTTTCCTTATGCGTCACTGAAAAAAGTTCAAAACAAAAAGAGATAAAACATTTGCCATCAAAGACAAGAGGAGATAATTTTGGTAAGATAGCTGATATGAATTCTAGTCTTAGCTCTGCAGTGACAACCTCAGGCTGGAAAGTCACTTGAAAAAAAAGACAAGAGACCAGTCCTCTTTTGATAGTCACTGTTTTCTCTTCCTGCTATTTTCACACCTAATGTATCTAATGAAAAAATGTCACAAATTTCTTGTAGCAAAGACAGTGAATGTGTTGAACCCTTGATGAACTACAGTGTAGTTCACATGAAATATGAAGGTTAATGCCTGGCAGCAAATTAAAATCTTTGAAGGAAAGATTGAGAACTCATATTGTCTTCTCCTAGGGTTTTTATATTTATATATATATTATATATAAATGTATATTATATTATATATATATGTTGAAAACCTTTTAGTCTTTCATTGTGAAGACTATAACCCTTTTTTTTTTCAAAATTTTGTTTGCACCAAGATTCTCCTAGGAAGTCCTTAGGGAGCAAGGATTTGAACGACACAGTGCTTTGTCCCTCGTGTGTGTGCTCAACCATGGATTTTTAATTTTTTTTTCTTTTCTTTTTTTTTTTTTAATTTTTTTTTTTTTCAGAGCTGTCTTTCGTCTTTCCAAACAATGATGTTCCATACTTGACAGAAATGGTAGCACTCCCAATCATCTGAATTCATTTCTGGGCAGCTTAATTAATAAAGTGCTTATCTTATGCCCCATGGGAAAAAAAATCAGTTTTCCAGGAGAAAATAGATATAATGTGCTGACAGAATATTAAAATACAATTGGTAATTAATGTGCATTGGGAATTAAAAATATAGAGCAAGAGTCAGAGTTTGGGAAAAGATTTGAGTTACACAGCAACAAAAGAGAACAATGAATTTTCTTTCTCTAATGTCTCTTATAAGATGAATTTTATATGAGCTGTTTTCTTTCAGGATTTGAAATCTTCCATGGAGGGTTGACATCTGGAAATTGTCCCTTTCCATCTGGTTGCCGCTTCCAAGTCTTGAAAGATTTAGATGCATTTGGCTGGTTCCCTTGTGTGAATGGCTCCAGTGAGTTCTTCCTTAGAGTTTTTCTTCCTACCAGTGGGATGAATTTAACTAATTTACTGTAATATAAGAAAACATAGAGATACCAGAAGAGCAGCTGGAGTTTAAATTAGCAAGGGATGTGAAGGACAAGAGGAAGGGCTTCTATAACAGAATTTAAAAAGGAAAGCTAAAGAAATTGTGAACCTGCTGTTAAAGGCAGTAGAGATTGAGGGGCAAAGGATGTGGGAAAGGCAGAGGGAGTTGGTGCCTTTTTGCCTTTTATGCTGCTGAAGACTTGCCTTCAGACCTCTCACGCTCTTGAACCTGGTTGCAGAGTTTGTGAGAGTGCAGCAGCACCCAAAGGAGAGGAAGATGGAGTAAGGGAGTATTTGAGCAAGTTGGACATATACAAGCGAGATGGAGCAGATGGGATGTCTCTAGGAGCAGCAGACAAGTGGGCTAATGTCACCATGTGGCTGCTCTATAGCAGCTTTGGAAGGACATGACAAAGTTTATGGAGCAAGTACACTTAGAGGTCCCATCCAGGTGCTGGAATGTCAAAAAGGTGACTGCAAACAACCAGCGTGGAGTTACCAGCAGCATATTGTGCCTGATGGAACTGATTGCCTTCTGTGACAAGATTGATGATACAATGAGGAGAGAGAAGTGGATATTCAATATTTTGACATTGGCAAAGCATTTGGTGTGGTTTTCCATAGGCAGTTTCCATATCCTGATAGCCAAATTGGTGAGACATGTTTGGTTAAGTAGACAATAAGGAATGAAGTGAATGGATAATTGCTTGGACTATGGGTCTTAAAGAATTTTAATCAATAGCACAATGTTGGTGGTCACTAGTGATGGTCTTCAGGGATTGATAACTGGAACACAACTGAAGTTAATCTTTAGCATTGTCAGTTGAAGAGCAATGATTTTTAAAATTACTTTGAGTAAGTAGTTTGTGTAACTATTTATTGTGAACTGACTGTAGTCAGTGGCTTGCTTACCAAAGCTTTATCTCAGATGTTTGCCTATCCAGTGTGACACCCAGCCTGTGCTCAGTAACCTAAATGTATGGTGCTGATTCTCTTCTTTGGTGGAAGGCTCTGATTAGTACTACAAAACACATTTTCTTTAATTGCAGAATAAAATTAATTCTGGGAATTAATTTTCATTATAACAAGTAAAATTTCAACATATTATTAGTTTCTATCTAGGAAATGGCTGCCAGCATCATGTTACAGGCTAGTTTTTCCTAGTTGTGACTTGCAAATTTTTTTTTTTGAGAGAGGGTGCTAATGCACTCTAGCCATTACCACATACCTCACAATGGAAAGGACATAACTACCTGACTTCAGGATTTTCATTATTAAAATTGCTATTCTTAGCATTTTGAAAGGACTGTGTCAAATGGAATCCTAGAATCCTTCTCCACAAACCCATTTTTATCATCAAACTCACAATACTCTTTCTGTCTCTGCTGACATATATTGATCCTAAGTTTTCACGACAGAGATAACGGCTTTGCTAATGGCACAGTAAGTATCACAATTTACATCAGCTATAAATCATCAAGCATCTCAAGAGCATATAATCTACCATGAATGAGGTGAGTCATAAATTGTGTCCCTGCTACATTTGTGCCAGTCCAGCAAACCTATATCACTTATCTCTCCCCAGCCTCCACATTTCAAAGTGCTACAGGGAAGAAAAAAAAAAAGACAACAGATAACTCTAGAAATTGATTTCCAGACATGTAACAACACATCTAAGAAAGGTCAGCTAGTAAACTCCTTTGTGGGGTTGTTGGCAAAATAAAGTAAAATTGACACAAACTGGAAAAAAAAACGATGACAGCAAATTCGTCTATCTACCCCCTGGCTTTCAAATACACCTGCGGCCTCATCATTTAGGAGCAAAGAGATAAAGCTCAGAGAGCACCACACACATGGACAATGCATTAAACTGGACTTTTTGTCCTTCATCATGAGAAGGTGGTTTTGTCTTCAGAAGTGGTGTGGCACTTTCCCAGCCTGCTGTGGAGTAGTTCTTCATGGGCAGCCAAGGAGTTAATTTAAAATATGTTCTCTCTGCTCCCTGCCAGAAAGATGAGCCTTCCTGGCCAGGGCAGAGGGCAGAATGACCTGCTGCTGCAAGGGACAAAAATGCAGCCTCAATTTTACATAACTGCTTTAAAAAATTTAAGCTGTCATGCTTCAAGACACAATGACTTGACTGAATGTAGGGAGCAACCCTTGGCCAGTTTTCCACTAATCTCTGTCCTGACTGCCTTCCTTTTTGTCTG